TTAAGTTTCATTCCCAGTGATGTTGACTATCTTTCATCTATTAATTATATTATATTTCTATTTCAGTATAATGTCCATACTCTTTGTTCATTTGTCTAAATGTGGAATCTTTTGTTAAATCTGAATTTTAATTTATTTATTTATTTTTTATATTAGTTTTTCTTTTAATTTTTTTACATCATTGTTCATTTTTAAACAATATTTGCTTTCCCCCACCCTCTCAGGTGTAGTCCCCATAGAGTTTCCTTCCCCAAAACACCCATGCACCATCACCTCAGTCCCCTGTGATCCCTCCTCCCTCCCTCTGATCACTCTCCCTCCTCCTCCCAGGCAGTATGTCTCTGATTTATAATTGTCTGTTTTTGCTTTGTTGTGTTTTGTTAAATCTGAATTTTTAATTGTGATATTTACCCTTTGTCATAATTGCTGCAACTGCAAATAGCTTATCATTTGTGTTTTCTTTTTTATTATACTGTTGCTTTTAATTGTATGTGAATTTAAAACTTTGTATCTGTTTTATGTTAATATTTCTGTACTTTGGATAGCTTTTTTCCCTTTTGCTCAAAGGTGAGATTAATTAGACCTGAAATATCCTGTTCTCCTGTGTGCATGCCTGTGTGCAGCCTTTATTGATTGATTTTGGCTTATCATTTAGTTCCTTTCAGATTGCCGACCAACTATCTCAACACTATTAAGTAATTTTAACTTTCCCTCTTGTTTTGAGAATTTGACGCTGTGACAAATACCTGCCTCATATTTGTCTCATAAATACTTTATTTTGTTTCAGTAAGTTTTGGAGTTAAGGCAGTTTGTGCAATTAAATTTTTCTGATAGCTGTTTATTGTCAAAAGTGTGAAATGGCTTTTGGTAATTCTCTGTTGCATTAGTAATAAGTATTTGTGAAAAGTTTATTCATCTTCTTCTAGGAAGCTAAGATTCTGCGTGGTGTGCGTGTGTGTGTGTGTGTGTGTGTGTGTGTGTGTGTAAGTAACTGAAAGTAAATGGTCTTGTCAGTTAAATGAATTAGTGGGTAGAGAGTTAAGTTCTGCCTTCTTCTGATGTAACTCAGTTTGGCATATAAGGTGGAATGTCAGGGACCACAGTTACTTTGGAGTCATTTTGGCTGATAATTTTGGTCATAGTCTGGATTCTAGTTTCAGCATTACCACCTTTATCACCTTCTTGGGATTTTTTTTTGGTAAATGTGGTGACACCTCAGGTTGGCTGCTTAGGAGTACTTGTCAGTCCTTTTCCTTTGATGTGAGCTTCTGAAGCCATTGAGCCAGATCTCAGGAGCTGAGTATTGACAAATACTTTATTCCTTCACAAAACAAAGGCCTTCTAGCCCTGTGTTGGAGGATGTGACTTAGGCCCAAATAAGTCTTCCATTACCTCCTTCAGTTTAAACTACAGGATATGCCTATGTGGCAACCAGGATCTTTTTGTGACACTGGGGTGTCACTGCTTTTCTTCCCACCAGCCTGCAGAACAGAGAACAGCACTAGCAGGAGGCAGCATTTCCTCCCTGCTCTTTTAAGTTAAGCAGGGGTGGGTATGGGGTACCTCTCCCCTCCTCACCAGTCAGTTGAGTGTCTTCTCTTTCTATGGGAAAGAACAAGTGGGTGAGGAAAGATTAAATGTCTGCCTTCAACAGTTTCCTCTTTTGTGGGTTGGAATGGGGAAATATGTGTCATTGGGACATCCCCGCCACTAGATCTCCTAGGTTTATTCTGGCCCAAACAAAAATGGCATAATACACATGTGTAAACTCTGGGTTGTGTGGCAGGTATGTAAAGGGATGTTTTTGAGTGTGGCACACTGTGTCATGGTGTTTCTTTCAGGTTGTTCCCTGCGTGGACCTGGCCAGTGTAGTTCTGAGTTGTAAAGTTAATGGAAAGTGAGGGCTTGGCATTTATGGTGTGGTTTTAATATTCTCTGGGTGTGGATTTGGACCCTGGCAGCTCTGAAAGCAGAGTTGTTTCCTGGTTGGCCCTGTGTCTTTGTGGGGTGAGGCCCTGGGAGGCCTGTGGAAGAGGGTGAAGCAGGTGGTAAGGGGGGCCTGGTGTCACAGTCCAGAGCACTGTCTCCCTGACCCCTTTGTGCCTATGAAGCTTCCTTTTGCCTTTCCATGTTCAACACACGTGAATAGAGCTGAAGGAGCCCGGGATCTTCAGGTTAAGACAGTCCCTTAACCTGTTTCAGAGTAATCATTTATCAAAGGCCCCAGGCAGGGCCAGGGATGAGGTGCAGTACTCTGGAAAGCATACAGGCATGTGCTGACTTGCTGGTTTCTTCATGGGGGTGTTGTGGGGGGATGGAGGGACTCTGGGTTTGTTTCCCACTTCAGGGTTTTTGGGAGAGCTCTTCACCATGGCTGGGTTCAGTGATGTCTGAGGTGCAGCCTGTAAGATACCTGAACTCTGGGGTACCATGCCTCAGCAGCCCCCTGAATCTCTAGGGCCCCATTTCATGGAGAACATGGCCACTCACATTCTAGATTTCTCTAGGAACCACTTGGGTTGAAGGGGTACATTTGCAATTCTAAGGAATAGGGTTATCTTGTCCATAAAAAGGAACAGGGTTTCTACCACATAGAACATTTTCCTGCCTAAGATCAGTTCCCAAACATTGGCTATTCTCTGATAAACTCAACTTGAGTTTTAGGTTAAACATTTTTTCCCCTTATATGCATGACAGTCATCTGTAGCTAGAAAAGAAAACCTTAGTGTTCCGAGACTTTGTAATCTGCAAAACACAAGTGGGTGAGTGTTGGCTACCTTTAGTTAGTTTCCTCCAGAATCCACCCCTACCATACCCCCAGTGTGTGGACTGCACCACAGCTAACAAGGTCCTTCTGCTTTGCAGAATCCCCACAGGGGCTGCAGTCCTGTGCCTAGGCTGATAGCAGTCTATGGGCATGTGAGCATCACCTGGAGAACGTGTCAAGGATGCAGGTTCTGGGTCCCAAGGCAGACCAATTTGTTAGACTTTCCAGAGGACAGGTCCTGGGTATCTGTATTTAGAATAAATCATCCCGATATTTTCAGCTGGACCCCTCAAACCCAGTGACATTAGGGATTGGTCACCTCATTTTAGTTGAGTTGCTGCCACCGGCATAGGGCAGGGACTTGCTTAGGATGAGGTCACATTGCCAAAGGAAGGAGCCTGGGTCTCTGCCTGAGAGCACTTGTTCCTCTCCCTGCAGCCACCCGTGTGGCCCGGGCTGCATGACCCCATGTCAGTTGTGTCCCTCAGCACTCAGGATTGTATGTCCATCCAGTCTTAGAGGCAGTCTGTGGAAACACTGTTCTGATGGTGGGGTGGGGTTGGAGGAGATGCCTACTGCTGGGTGGCTGCATCCTCTGGCTGATTTTGGGGGCCAGAGAGCCCAGCTTCTCACAGCAGGATGCTGACCACTCTCCCAGCCCTCTTGCAGGGAGGGGGTGAGGAATGGTGACATCCAGCCTGTGCCTGTTGATTTCATCTGCGGTTAGGCAGTCATAGTACCCTTCTCCAGAGGAATATGGTTTTCATGTCCTGCTTGGTACCCCTTTCTCAGAACATTACAAAGGGGAGGCTGTGCCTCTGAGGCTGCCTTACAGGAAGGAATGTTGCAGTAGCCATAGTGCAAGAAGGCAGCAACCCCGCCTTCTTCTTGGCATTGTGGGTAGGTTGTCTCCTCACGGTCCAAGGAACCTTGTTTTGCCTTTGCCCCTCTTCTCGCCCCAGTAAGTGGGAGGCTAACCAGGGACTGGGCATGAGTGTTCCCCTGTGAGCCTCAGATCCCCTCTGCCCTCTTAGTCAGCTCGAGGCACCTCCCTTCCTCTCGACCTCCCTCAAAGGTTCCCTTTGAGGATCTTTTTAATTAGGAGTCTCTGAGAGGTTTGGGGGGGATGAACACAGATAAAAAAAGAATTCCCTACCCATAGTCTGTGCTGTCCATGTTTTGAACTTTACTGGGCTCCAGGAGGCCTAAACAAGGTTCTAATGGGTGGGGTGGGGTGAGGTGAAAAGAGGAGGTTAAGCAGTGGAGGAAGGAGTGGGGGGAGTGCTGGCTGTAGGGGCTTACACAATTCCACCCAGACCAGGGTGCTCTGCCTTCCTCCCCGGTGTGAGGCCTGAGCATGGAACATTATCTCAGAAAATGTTAGATGAACAAACACAGAGCCCTAATTCTGGCTTTTCTTTACAGGTCTTTCATCTTCTTTCCCCAAACATGATTCTCAGTGATCAAGTCCCGGCAGCTCCTGTCTGCTCCACTGCAAGAGGGTGGGGGTGGCAAGTCCTTTGCTTCAGATCCTGGGCCCTGGCATTGTTTTGTCTTGTCCATCATCAGGCCACATGACATTTCTGAACTCCTTTTTCCTCAGCTGTGAAGTAGAGAAATCAATACCCAATGGAAAGGTGATGAGTCAAATGTTTGGGAAGGTTCCAAGCAGAAGTCTTATTATTTAGGAAGCACTTTAAAAATCACCATTTTCTGATTTTTCAAAAATTCTCTTATTCTTTTAGCTGTTTTTGGAAAATTAACCTGTTTGTTTTTTTTAAGGTTTATTTATTTATGCATATAAGAGCTGGGGTGTAGGCCAGAGGTGCAGGGAGTGAGAGGATTCACCAGAGACAGAGTGGGGAGCAGAACAGGCAGATCTACGGAAATACACTGCTGAGGGGAGCAGCGGGCGAGACAGGAGAGGTCTGCTGTGCCATGTGGGCAGCTCCCCGGCCAGGGATCAAACTGGTGCTGCAGTGGCTGCCAATAGCTTCATAGTGCTGAGACTTAATCTCTTGTACCATCAAGGAGGCTCCCTTCATTTTTGCCTAACCTGGAGCTGCCATTGGCTAGGCACCCTGTGCCTGGACTTGTGAAAGGACACAGGGAAGGACCAGGAGATTTCGGGAGTCTGTATACGAGCCTCACTTTGCCATTCCCTTGAGGAGCAGGTTATGGGGAGGTTTTGAAATTGACTCTGCCATCTCCTAACTCCCACATCTCTCCACAGATCCTGCTTCTCAGAAGATGCACTATTACAGATACTCTAATGCCGAGGTCAGCTGCTGGTACAAGTACCTCCTTTTCAGCTATAACATCATCTTCTGGGTGAGTGGATAAAGGTGGTTGTGTTTCCTTTTAGTCCTTTATTTCGCATTTCATGGTTCTTTATGTACTTTTGATTGGCCAGGCCCCTCGTGTGGCCTTGGATAGGATATTGGGCTGGGTTGATGAGCCCTGCCCTCATGAAATAGGAGACAATTATAAAATAGACTGTTAAAAAAGTGCTGGATGGGAAAGGCCAATGTGATTGCAATCTAGGTTAAGAGGGTTGTACCCTAGTCTTGGGGTTTCAGGAAGACTTGGGACTCTGGCCTGGATCTCTCTCTCTCTCTTTGATACTCCCCCCATCCCCACCTGGGGAGTATCCCAAAGAGGCTGCCATGTACTTTGCGCAGATTAGACTGGGACCAGGCCCAGTTCTAGGTTCTAGGAGGCAAGAGTGGACAGTGGCATTAAAGCCTTGTTCCTGTGCTGTTTAAGTTCGACCAAAGAAGTGTTAGCGTACAATGTGACAGAGCAGGGAGGAGATGTTCCTTGGCTAGGGTGGTCAGGGAGGCACACTCTGGGTACGTGACTTATGCAATGAAACCTGAGTAGTTAGTCAAGAGGCAGCTGTGAAGGGGCTCTGAGGAAGGAGCTTTCCAGGGAGCTCCTGCGGGGAGAGCAACACACACAAAGGCCCTGAGGTGTGAGTGAGGTTGGCATGTGCAGGGGATAAAAAGGAGGCTGTGTGGCCAGAGCTGAGTAACTGAGTGAGGACAGGGGAGAGAGGATACAGGTTAGGACAGAGACATGAAAGAGGCAGGTCTTGTAGGACTGTGCAGAGGTCAGTAATGCTAGAATTATTTTCCACTTCTTTTGGTAACTCTTGGTAGGCTACAAATGATCAAACTTTGGAATGAGTCTGCAGAGTGAGGGGGTGGACAGTGGTACCATGTTCTGAGATGAAATTTGGGGGCAAAGGGTTTGAATGGTTCTTAACCATCTGCATGGAGATGTCTGTTTTCTGTGTCATTGACCATCTTGGAGATGAAGCACGTGGTCACCATCAGAGGAAGGGGTGGACCACATGGAATCCTCAAAAGAGGAGAGCATGTTGACTGAGAAGAGGTGGTGGATATTGAGCCCTGGGTGGGGCTGAGGAGGAAAGTCCACTCCAAAGTTGGTTGCTAGTGAGTGGCCTGTGGCAAAAAAAGACCAGGTGATTTTGTGTTGTGGGAGCCTCGAGAGGAAATCTTTCAAGTAGAGAGAAATAGTCAGCTCTACCACAGGGAGGTGAAGTAGGATGAAGACAACAGTGACGTTGGCCTTGGCAAGATGGAAGTCATTTGTGATCTTGGCCAAAGTTGCCGTGTGCTCTAGGGGGTAAACATACACCTGGAGTTATCTGAGAAACCAATGGGACATGAGGAAGTGGAGCCCAAGACTCATGGCAGTTCTTTCAAACTGTTACACTTGAAGAGGGGCAGAAACATTGGACTCTGGTTGGAGATAGTCAAGGGTTAAGGGAGCTGTCACGGTACGTGTGTTGCCAGTGGGGTTGGTGCAGGTACAGGCAGACATTGATTCTGTGAAAGGGGGGACATGATTGTGCACAGAAGCTTTTAAAACCATTACATAAGCATTGTTTATAGAGTCTGTGCTTGGGCAGAAGGAGGAAGAACAGACTGAGTGCCCACAAAGCTACCTTGTCCCTCTACTGCGGATATGGCGTGTCCCACTTGAACTGGAATCTGGTGAACGAGGTCAACTCACTGGGACTTCTGAGCCTTTCACAGAAGAGGCTTTTATGGCATCTTCTCCTGATGATTTATCTCAGAGTTTTTGGGTTTTCTGTCCTACAGCAGTAGGGTGGGATTCAATGACTTGGCCATTCACCCCAGGTCTTTTCCTGTGCGCAAAACCTGTCACCAACAACCTCAGTGACTAAAGTAGGGCAGTGCTGAACAGTTGATTCGGTACCTGTGGGTCCTCCCACTGGGAGGACTGGCTGTCCCATCTGCCTGTGTGTGACACCCACAAACTCCAGGCTCCCTGCCTAGAGGAGGGCTCTCTGGCCCCACCCGGTGTGTGGTGGAAGGCAGCTAGTCCGACACCTTAGACACTTGTAACCCAGCTGTTGTCACTGCCCACTGCCCCCCTGCCCATCAGCTTGGTTGTGCTTGTTTGGCCTCTTGCCTTCATCTCTGACTCCCTTCCTGATTTTTGTGACTAGAGCAAAACTCTCCCACTGCTGTTGCGACTGAAGGCCATGATAATCTCTGTTCTTCAGGGACTCTTCAGAACAGATTTCTATGCTCCTCGAAGCTTTATAAGCTTGCCCAGTAACACATTTGCAGCACCAAATTCAAACAGTGAAGTTCAGGAATCTAGAATTGCAGCAAGTTTTGTGTTGGTAGAAGGGTGTGGCAGTGTTATCAGGTTTTGCAGAGTGTGTGTGGGCGAGGGTTAATCATTTTGGTTGGGAAAATGAGAGGGGAAGCCACGTGTTTTGCTGGAAGAAGCTGCCCGAGCCCTCCCTGCTGGGTTCTTGGTGGTTGCTGTTTTTATCAGCACAGGAGCTGGCAGTGTGGAGTGAGGCCTGAAAATTGGGGTGTAGCACCCTCAGGAGGGGCACCTGAGTACCAGGAAGGGCTTTCACCTGAAACTGATGGACTGTGATAGGCCTTGGATCTTACCTTCCTGCTTCCTACCTCACCAGTTGTTGAACATGTGAAATGAAATATGAACCCTTCACTCCTCAGTTTTTGTTTTTGTTTTTTTTTGAAATGGAGAACATACAAAAATGGAATAATAAAATGAACCCTCTGTTCTCATATCTTCCAAATGATCAAGTCACAACTGATCTTGTGGATCCCTCCCCTGACTTGCTCTCTCCTCTTTGGATTATTTTAAGCAAACAGGAGATGATTTGCCCACTGAGGTTTTGTTTCTGTTGTTATGAATTAACAGTGAGCGGTGGAGCAGAAGGATTACAGCATTGATGGTGGTGTGGGTGGTGGCGCCGGGCTCAGCTGCAAGTTTGAATATGCAGAAGGTAACCGGTTGTTTCTTTGACCAATTTTAGGTGCCAGAACGAATACAAGGCTCTTTTTGTTGTTGTTTTTAGCAGTTTTCCCCCATTCAGAATTGTTTTCACAGTAACATTCTTCATACAACTACCTGTGGCATTCTAACAGTTTTTAAACTTTGGGGCTGAGATTTTTTTCCCAAGGGTCTGTTAATACTTCCTTGAGTGAGAAATGTGGCTGCCACTGATGTCTGAGTCTGTTTCGGTATCCCGTTTCACTGAGTGAATGTGGAGTTCATGAGTTCTTGTCACAGGATGTCAGGAGACAATGCTTTCAGCCCACACAGCATTTTGAGGACACTAGCACTTTTTACTTTGTTTTTTAATTCATAGTCATTCTTTGGTTGTGTTAGTCATGTTTCTAGTGCAAATTTCACTTTGACTTAGGGGAAATGAAATTCAAAACCACTTTGCACTCATTAAGATGGCTAAAAAAACACTATAAAATAAGAAATGTGAGTGAGAATGTGCAGAAATCGCAACCTTTGTGCACTGTTGGTGAGAATGTAAAATAGTGTAACCAATAGGGAAGACAATGTGGCAAAGTGAAAAACAGAATTGTATGAGGGCCTCCCCGGTGGCGCAGCGGTTGAGCGCTGGGTTGCGAAGCTGCCTGCGGCCTCTGCGGCACCGGTTCGATCCCCGGCTGCTCCCCGGCCACCGGAGGAGGATCCCACATGGTGCGCAGATCTCTCCTGCCACCCGCTGCTCCCCTCAGCAGTGTACTTCAGTCCTTCTGCCTGCTCTGCTCCCCGCTCTGGCTCTGGTGAATTCTCTCACCCTCCCGCGCTTCTGACTGTACCCAGTGCATGTATAAACAAAACAAACAAACAAATATAATAAATAAATAAATAAGCATGCCTCTATTTAAAAAAAAAAAAAAAAAAACAGAATTGTATGATCCAGCAATTCTAGTTTTGAAACTATGTCTAAAGGAATTGAAAGCAGTATCTCCTGTGAACTCATGTTCACGGCAGCATAATTCAGATTAATTTAAAAGGTAGATGCCACCAAGTGTCCATTGACAGGTGAATGTGTAAACAGAATGTGGTCTACACACACAGGGAGTGTTAACTCCTTAGAAGGAAGGAATCCTGTCACATGCTACAGTATGGATGAACTGGAGGACACTATGCTAAGTGAAATAAATCAGTCACAATAAAACAAGTACTGTATGATTCACTTACGTGAGGTACATATAGTAGTCAAATTCGTAGAAACAGAAAGTAGAATGGTGGTTGCCAGGGCATAGAGGGAGATGGGAAATGATTGTTTAAAGGGTACAGGGTTTAAAGGGTACAAGATAAAGAGTTCTGTGGGTGGTAGTGATGGTTGCACAACACTGTAAATGCACTTAATGCCAGTGAGCTATGCACTTTCAAATGGTTACAATGGAAATTTTTATATTATGTGCACTAACTCACAATTAAAATGACCAAAAAAAATCTCCCCTGACTTGTAGAGTTAGGGCGCTGGGGGTGGAGATGTAGTTTGCATCCTGTATGACTTTTTTCAATAATACTCACCCCATCTGGCTCCACAAAGAATCCCAGCTTCCCCGGCTTGCCAAGTGAACCCTCTAGAGAGATCACTCAGATGATGTCTGCAACTCCAGGACTGTTTCCCCCACGAGCACTGAGTTTAATCTGCAAAGATTCAGTTAAAGCCCTTGCTTGGATCTATTTCAGAGATGAATTAAAAGTGAAGAACCGAGTGCCCTGTGAGCATAGACAAGAAGCCTGTGTGACACCGGGAAGAGAGCCCCTGCCATTGGCTTTCTCAGTGACTCGGGCAGGTCTGAGCTGCAATGTCCCTGCTGGTAAAATGTGGGAATTAGCTTCTGAGCTTAATGTGCAGCCTGCTTTTGAGTGAGAGGAGCACCGTGGACATTTGTGCTCTGTGACCACCAGCCTGGCACAGGCCTCTTCCTCCAGAGTTAGAGATGCTGCCCCTGAGGAGGGCAAACATAGGCTAT